GGACCAAGGTTAATCCGTGACCGAAGTCACGTGCTCTGAAATTCACGCCCTCAAGATCAACATCAACATCACGACCTTGTACTACACAAGCAATAGGATGAAATTCGGCCTGAAGCATATGACTTCCTCGTCTCCTCTGAATTACGTACGATAATTCTAGTATACATACCGAACATACAATGACACGTTACTCATTCCTTCCTTCGATAAAAGAGTAAGTGTCCCAACGTCCCTCAGCCGACCCTTGGCCACCCTTGCGCTGCTTGCCTTTACCTTCGTGCTTGGTACGAGGTTCTGAAGTAGGCCGTGTAATCTTCAACGACCGATCTGCTTTTATCTGCCGAACTTTTGGCGACCCGCCTGCCCTGCGAGAAGAGCTTATGCTGTCTGGTGTATAGAAGATCTGCTCAGATTGTGCCTCTTCTCGAGCAGTAACCGGAGCTGCGTTCAAAGCTTGTTGCATCTCATCACTCGAGGATTGATATGTAGGCGCTGCGGGTTCGTACTGTATCGGTCTGTGTGTGATGTCGAAGCTGTACGTCTCCTTCAAGTACTTGGCGATGGCATGGTTCTCTTCCTCAGTGCCACTGCCGTAGTAACTCTTCAGCTCCTTTGCTACGAGCGTGTCCAGAATAACGCCTCGGTTCAGCGGTTTCTCACCCGCCTGCTTAGAAGGATTGTTGCTCGGTAGCGCAACTGTGGCATCCCAGCGCAGGCCCATAGCGGCAAGTCTGTCTCTGCCTGACCATCCTGTAGCGCGCAGTGGGGTCTCCTGAACAAAGCTTCTGACGCGCTCCTCAAGGTCTTCCCAGCTAACTTGCTGAGCAAACCAAGGTCGCAGCATCTCTTCAACGGCGCCAGAAAACCCACTGAACGATTTGTTCGAATAGTACAGATGTTGGATCTTGCCCATAAGAAAGCCCACATCCACTCCCGTGATGGTAGGATTTACGCCGACTCGGCGCAAAAGCTCATGCCAGTCTTGGAAGATGTGCTTTCGAAGGCCCACTTCAGAGTCGACCTGTAGGGCTTTAATAAAGCGGCATAGAACTACACGAGCTTCTACTTGTGTCACCTCGCCAGCGATGTCGATGACTGAAGTATCGAATAGTTGAGGATGGGTCTGGGTGAGTAAGCGCGCTCGTGCTTTTTTGAAATATACAGCCGCTAATTTGCGTTCACTGATGGCTTCCATGGCCGCGTCTAGGGGCATTTTCAACGCAGCCTCGTATTTCATGTTCCGAAGATAACCTCGTAGGTGGAACTCAAGCTGTTCCACTTTTATGATATCCTCGATACCGCCATTGACATGTCCTCGGCGGGGGTCGAAAGGTGGTGCTAAGTTTGCTGCTCGTAGAGGCTCCATGATGTCGCTTGGTAGGAGATCTCTGCTACTAGGGTTGACGCCCAAGCTGTATAGGAGAGTGCGGTAATGTTGAGACAGAAAGCGCGCATCCAACGCAACGAGCCTTTTCGCTCGATCGACAATCTGTGTCCTCATTGCCGGAGTCAATGGCCCGTAGAAGTCACTCAAGACTTGTCGTCCTTCCGCTTCGGCACGCAAGCGCGCAGGGAGACCCATTTCTTTTCGGCACTCTGCGACAAGAATCTCTAGATCAATTCCGAAATTCCCTGTAGCGTACGGTAAACTCGATTCGATGTTCCTAAAGATCTCGGCAGATGGCTTTTCGTAAAAGGCAGGGTTGTCTTTGATGAGGGTCTTAATTTTCCTCATGTAGTCCTGTCTTTCTTCTTCTCCGGGAAACAAAGAATAATCCCATACCGAGAAAACCCCTTCACCGGCTGCGGATTGTGTGGATCTTGTAGGAGTGTAGAGCTTTTCGCCCGCAGGGTTACGGTATCCACCATTGATATACATGATGCTTGGATTCTTGGAAGCCCTTTTCTCTATGCTGTTGATTCTGGCGACAAGGATAACATGATCTGCGATGGGAAATTCATGGGTGACCTTGCACTCCATCGCAGCCAACACCTGTTCCCCCAATACCTGCGGCGCAAGAGAAGGCATATCACTAGGGTTATAATGATGCCTGGGCTTATCGAGCTTAGGCTGATAGAGTCTAAGTTCCTTTGATCGCAGATTGTAGGCATCCGGATGGTTCCCTCTACAAAATAGATCGACGACTTTCGCACCGCCTCTGTCAGCTGAGGGGTAATGAACGCGAAAAAGGCCATTGGCTGCCCGGATAGCGTCTAAGGTCTTGGACGGTTGTTTGATGTTGAAGGAAATCGTAGGCGGATCGAGTGTAACGGTGCTAAGTGAAGAAACGGCAACGCCCATGGGAACGTGTTGTTGAGTATCGGGGTCGATACTTTTGACCGTGAGGACTGCGACCGAGCTCGGAACGTTACGCATCACTCTGCGTACCGAGTTCTTGAGTCGCTCTTCCCCCAGCTCCGCCTCAGAGAGCTCAAAGGCAGCATCTTGCTCTTCCACGGGCTCCTGCGTGTTTGCTATATCCTTCGATACACTTTCTGCCGGTCGTAATATGTGTACCCCTCCTCTTCCTGTTATCTTTGAATTCTCCTCCCCAGCTCCTATCGCTTCTTCTTCTTCATGCGATTGCGACGGGGACTGACTTTGTTGTTGCAGCAGACGAGTCGTGTTATAGTAGCGTGGGGCGCAGATGCCGTTGCGGGGATTTGTATCGCGACGAGGGTATTGAGAGGCAATTGCACATGGTCTTGACCGTTCTAAGAGGATATTCAGTATATATGTACCAATGCGCACTGAGGTACTAACGAGTATGTTGATTCCATCTGTAGAAGGCTGCGAAAAAGCGCGAAGCCGGGCGCTGCGAGAGCGCCATGTTCAGATTAAAATCGTCCGGCTTGACCACATGCGCCGAGGAGCAGGAGCGCGCTATGTTTCGAGAAGACGCGGCTGTTGGAGGGCAATTCGGTGCGAATGACGAAGTGCGCGGGTTGAAGATGGAAATGTTAGATCGGCCAAGGCTGACCTCCGCCTCTTCGCCGCAACTTTCCTCGCCAACTTCAACACACGACCCCAGCACAAGTCACTATGGCGTCTCCAATACCCTCAATGAGCGCACTGCGCGTCCTCCGACAATCGATACAGCCTCAAGTACGCCAGACGAACCAAGTACGACACGCGACGCTTCTCCGCCGACCCAAGCGACCCTACACCTTCACCCAACTCGTAACCCTCTCTGACGGCAGCTCCTTCACCCTACGAACCACAAATCCACAGCCCGTATACAAGAGCGCAAAGGACCAACGGAACTCTCCGCTATGGAATCCGAGTTCACACAAACTACTTAATGTCGAGGAGGATGAGGCCGGAAAATTGGCGGCTTTCAGAACAAAGTTCGGACGAGGATGGGATGCGGAGACTGATGCCGAGAAGGTATGTCAACGAGAAGGAGGCTGAGAGAGTATACTGCGAGTGTTTTGGCTAACTCCTGGACAGGGCAAGCAGACAGAAGACCATCTTCTCGATCTTATCAGCAGCCAGGGCAAGCCGCCAGGAAAACCGACCGATGCCACCAAGACACCACCTGCTAAAGCGCCTGCATCGACGCCTGCGAAACCAGCCGCGAAGAAATAGGAACTTTGTGTAGAAGACAACGAATGTCACAATACCATGGCACCATTGTGCAGCACGGTGCAAATGTGGATGGGGTTTCATTGCAGGGTTCAACGACAGACGCACGCTATTACAGTCATGCAATCATTCCTGTTCCGCTAGTAAACAGTCAGAGTGCGTCCTGAGTTGTGTTGGTGTCACATAACGGGAAGACTGGTGCCCAGATGCGCCCATGTACCGCTCCACACTCCTCGCTCGACTCATACAGTCAACTATCTTCAAAACCCATCCACCAGCGAACAATGACTTACGCACAAAACCTTCTTTCTTAACTCTCTCAATTGAAGTTCATATCTCAGTGATCGATTCTATTGAATACCGCACATCATCATGGCAAAGTCCAGCCACAGCAAGATAGTCTGTGCTACGCCTCGCAATGACACCCAGCGCAAGGTCACGAAGCCTACAACAAAGGGTACGGCGGCCTCGAAACCAGAAAGCTATCGGCCCACCAAGGGCTGGGTACACTGTAATCATCCTCCTGACCAGTCTAAAAACATCAAGTGCGACCCCAAGGACCCCAAAAACATCATCCATGGCAAAAGAACACGGAATGGCTCTCGGGTGAATGAGTCACAGCTAGGCAAAGCTACGCACTCCATCATTCTGCCAGACGACGACAACATATCAATTCAGAGAGCAAATGCCGAAGCAGCGTCTCCCGCTGCGCCTCACAAACACACACAAAGAGCGTCTGAAAAATCCGTCGAAGAGCCAGCGCCCGACACGTACAGCGATGGCGAAACACAAATACACACCGAAGAGGATAACACAGGAAATGAAATATCACCCAGAGCACTCCGCCGTGGGATTCTCGCTCTCGTCAACCATTCTTTGCAGATCGCCGACGATGTGGCAGGATATATGCAATTTTTTGGAGGTAACGAGGAACAAGCAGAGGAGCTGGACTGCGGTGTGAACGAAGTATTGATTAGGCGGGTGAAGAAATGGAGGGCAGAAGAGAAGGCCCAGAAAGGGAAGGGCAGTAAGAATGTCAGGTTTGCGGCCTGAGCTGAGGCTGTGGCAGTTCTATTGGGTGTTCATGCTTGGTGGACGATGACGAAGGTGCATACTTTGATCAAGGTCTTTACATGTTATGGAGTTAGTTTTTATATGTTCCTATTGCTGTTTCACTAGTTAGTAATACAAATCCCGGATCTTTGCGCTAGCAGTCTTATAATCCATGATGTCTCATTTTTGAATCCCAAGAGCTCGATGACATTCCTAGTACATCAAGTGCGACTATATACACATGCCGTTCCAAATCCCGCCCACAAAATTCAAACAAGAGGTATAAAACACGCATAAAACCAAACGGCCATGACATCCAAAGCATGCGGGCAAGCTTGCCACTGGCGACATACATCAAAGATCAAACCACACCATCCCCAATGACCCTCCGCTCATGACCAACCCACTCATCCCCCTCACTCCTCACACTCCCCGTCCGCTCCCTCCCCTCCTCATCAATCTCCACCTCCCTCGTATGTATAGTCTGCACCCTGATATTGTTCAACTCGACCTCATCCCCAAACTCCTCTCGTGTGGGTGTGCGATACATGCCGCGACTTGGGGCGCGGAATTTGCTGGGCGGGGACGAGGATTTGCATTCCGTTGTGACGCTCGAAAGCACTAAACGTGGTGAAGTCTGCGGACGGTTGTTGTGATGTGGATTGTGTGTGTTGATCGAGCAAGGGAAAACGTTGAGGCTAGGTCTTCGGGAGTTTGCGCCGCTGTTGGTTCTGCTGCTGCTGATGCTGATGCTGTTGCCGCCGGTCGGCGACACGTCGGCCATGCCCTTGATGGTGATGATTTCACTGCGCAGCTTTTCTTCTGTGTTTTCTCCGTACATCAACTTGCTTTGCCGTCTTTGGTGTGATGTTGTACCGTGTCTTGAACCAATGTTTTCGCCTCCCGTACCGCTCGTTGCGTCGGTAGTCATCATCGTCTTGTCTTTGGATGTGACCCAATGTAGCACCAGCGAACAGAACAGAATATCGGCGTTGCAGCAGATGAAGCAGATCCAGGCTGGTTCACCTTGCAGTATCATGAGGACGGTCAGGTTGACGACGGACGTGGTGAGGGTGGCGAGGGAGCCCATGAGCGAGCGCTTGGCTATCCGACGGAGTGTAGGGTTTGTGTTGTTTTGATACGAGTAGAGACTGCGGAGGGGAACAACGAAGAGAGCAGTCAGGCAAATCTGGAGTTCGGTCAGTTTCATTTGTGTCGGAAAGAACCAGGGTAGGAAAATGGGAGATGTACGTTCACAACGACCTCGAAAATGATCAAGGGTAGCATGGCAATCCTCTGCATGCCAATAATGCATACGCCCTCGTCATCGATGTAGCTTATTCGGCTACGATGCGTCAGTACTCGATCTTCTTTCTCGATGCAAGGGTGGGAATTTGCGGCTTACTAGACGAAATTCAAGACAACCAAGACGGTATACGGCACTTTAGCATCATCAGCGCGGGTTCTCTGGACCTGTTGGTCGCAACGTACGTAGCATGAATAGGCAGTTGAAAAGCCACAGCTTAGTCTTCAAGCGAGGCTTTTGACTCCCCCGAACGACATACTAAATCCAATCAGTAACAGCTCGAACAAGAGAAGAAAGAAGAGCCTTGTACTCACAGCTTTCTCAACAAGGAAATAGTATGTCAGGATCTTCGTCGTCATGTAACACAGCAAACCTGTGCAAGAATTAGTCGCCGGTTCACGCAATCTGGTATCGTAGACTTACACAAGAAGACCCCGCTTTCACAGGCCTGCGGTGAGGAATTGATGCCAACCCCGTGAAGCATAATTGCTGTGGCAAAAACGAACAACGCCGAGTCGCAATATATGATGATGATTACTGATCCATTTCGTTAGGATGATGCGCATCAAATGCCCCGAGAGCGTGTGTTTCGTTGCACATACATATCGTGGCCAAAGGCAGCGCCATCCACTTCGTGATGGACTGAGTTCGTCGCACTGTCACATCTTGTTAGCATTCTCATTCTTTTGAAGTAGCACCAAAAGTTGAAAACCTACTTATGCAAACCGTAAGTGCACCAAAAGTAATGATCTCCAGCATGACACTGATTATCTGTCCCACTCGCGGCACCAGCGCGTTGGCAAGGACGTGACCTTCCATGGTCTCGGTATCGTGTCGTAGCTTTAGCCTCGCCAGAAAAGGTTGTTGCACGTCCAAGTGACCAGATATGAGGAAAGAGAGAAGTAAAAAAAAAGGTAGAATATTACGGATGATGAAATGAGAAAGAATGGCCACAATCAACCTCACGAACCCGGCTCTGGGTACTACAGCGAGAAGTAGGAAATCCCATGTGCAATTGACCCTTTACCGCAGAATCCGCACCCAAGTGCGCCGGGGCTGGAAAGTGCGCCATCGAACCTTGTACCCATAGTCCTGGCTAGCCACGCCTCTGCTCCTGTTGGGGCCAAAGGACTCTCGTACTTCGTATGCACAACGGTCAGTGCTGGGTTCGGAAGTTTAATGACTGCGACGGAAGCACGTCCGGGGGATCGCCGTTCGCTTCCTAGGGGTAGAACAGAAGGCCTGACGCCAACGCCACTCGTAGGCCAGAAAGTCAGACTGCGGGTGAAGTCTTAGCTTCCTTGACTCATTTACATCCGAGCACAATATAAGTCTGATAGGATGGCTCGCTGTTAGCTTAGTGGGCTCATGAACATAATGAAGGGGAAGAGTGCATTAACGTGAATTGCATCTAATACTTCGCGAGATATCGATGTGATCAAGCAAGACGGGCATGTCAAGGGAGGAACTCTCGAAAACCATTTATCCAGGGCCAGTACTCCACGCCGGGCTAAACAAGACGGCGGGTCCTCGCTAATCTCACGTGGTTGACGTAGCTTCGAGATCTCGAATTCCTTAGCGTTCCAGATGTTCCACAACGGTATCCAAGCCGATTGGGCTGGAATGATCGTGCCATCTCAAATCAGTGTCGAAGAATCCCCCGAAGGATGTCAAACGTGGCTAGAATGAAGAGTAGCTTCACCAAATGCAGAGCAAGAGACTAATACCGCTCTTCCGAATACCAACAAGCCTGAAGCGTAGCGTCTGTGCTGCTACCTCGCCGAAGTGACCGCTTAATCAGTGATGGGGCAGACTCGCGTAGCAATGTTCATGCAAGTCTTTTAAAGTTCAAACAACGTGGCTTTCCATAGTGTTCGGAAGACGCAATCCTCATAGCTCCTGTTGATACAGCTCTTCGTCGGTGCCATCTTTCCGAGGGTTCGCATAACTGTCATCAACGCCCTGGGCAACCCAATCATCCCTGATCAGTCTAGCAACGTTTTTCCCGCTCAATGCACTCGTCTCCATGGTGCTGATAAAGCTCTCGATTCCGCTGGTATACCACAGTCCATTGTCTAGCTTGATCTCCTCAAATGTCACGCGTGGGTATTCGCGTGGGTATGAGTACCACAGTTTGTGGTGTATCCAGCTCACCGTGCCATTTACATCGCCGTGTTCGGCTTCCTCGTTTGAGACATGTTGGCCAAGGACGCGCGAGAGGAAGGTGGCGTTCACACGGGCAGGTGAGAAGATCTTGTAGATGTATTCCAATCGAAGTGGGGAAGATCCCGGGTTGATACCAGCATCGGATATGGATATGCTGAAGAAGTTGGGCGACCCGACACCATCCACCGGGACCTCAGACGGGGGTAGCGTGGTAAGGACGTATTGCGGTACAGGTGTCTCAGGCCCAAGGTTGAAAGCTTCTGGGTCCAATCGGAAGGGCGAGGCGAACAGGGTAGTGTACAGTTTCGCATAGGGGATCTCATCGGGAATGTGCTGTGGCGCGGGTTGGATAACAAGATCCGAATACTGAAGAGGGGATGCGAGGATGACATCGTCGAAGACCGATGTGTGGCCGGTACTTGCGGTAACTTCATAGCTGCCATCGTGCTGCTTCGAAATCTGGGCGACAGAAGTGTTGAGGTGGACATTGGCGCGAGAGGTTTTCAGCATATGCGCAAAGATCTGCCAGTTGCCTCCTTCAATCTGCATTGCTCCGTTTGTTGCCATGCAAACCATTGTCTCCAAGCCGTGAATATAAGGCAAGTTCGAGGCGTAGTTGACCCGGGTGCTGGCTTGGATAATCTCCTTGGAGAACGCTTCCCCGATTCCATTCGTCCTGAGGTACTGTTCCCCTGTCACTCCAGTGGCTTCCAACAAGCCCACACGCTCGACGGCGTCACTCAAGCTCTTCCACGGAAACACCGGTTCATCATACATCTCGAAGAACTTGCCCACGGCACTCTTCATCAGCCTGTTGGTCCAAAGCGGCGCAGCGCCATATCTCCACAGTAGCTTCGCCTTGTCCCACCAAGTATCACCAGCTTTCGTCACTACGACGAATTCCTGTCCATTCCAAATGCCTAAATCAGGCATTTCCATTTGCGCTGCGAGATCTCGTGCTCCAGCAGTAGATAAGTTGAATTCCTCCTTGGCTTTCACCATTATTCGATTGCTCTGTACAAAGATGCTGCCGCCCAGCTCTACGGATATCGTCGGATCGTTCCATGGGTTCACAGTCGTTGTGCGGCCGCCGACAAAGTCGTTGCGTTCGAAGACGGTGATGTTTGTAGGGATGCCTGCTTCGGCGGCATATTGCGCGAGATGGTATGCAGCGGATGAGCCACCTGCACCTGCACCTTCTCGGAGTCAGCATTTGTGATAGATCTTTCGGGGGTTATGGACTCACCTATGATTGCTACCTGCTTTACGTGGTGAGCCGGATCATTGGGTGTGAGAGCAAGTGCAGAGGGAAGCACCGAGGCAAGGCGCAACCACCGCGTCATCATGTTTACTCCTTCAAAAAGGCCGTGCCGCTTATATGTATGTTCTGGATCAAGTGTGAGGAATGAAGAAGCGTCGTCAGGTTCAAGTGATGTCGCAGGTCATGGTGGTGCGAAGGACGAAGGTTGGTATGGAAGGGCGCGGCAACGGTGATGATGGTGACGCGGCATGGATCAGCCAGCGGCAGCTACGAATAAGCATCTGAATAGAACATCGTACTCGTGCAACAAGACGATGTGAGTAAGGGATTATTCACGTATGATTATTCGTCGCGAATTCGTGTATTCAATCTTATTCAGTAAAAGCGACAGATGAGGACCGGGCGACGCGCAGGGGTTCGCGTTGACACGTGCTTGAGCTCGATACCTAGGCACACTCCCGAGGTCGATTTTTAAGGCCGCGCTGTGCCAATAGTCATGTTGCGGCCAATTCACTCAGCAAAACGCTAAGAGGTAATCGAGAGTGGATTTCTTAACGCTATAGGTGAACAAACCGCCCGAAAAATGATGCTAACCGTATAGTAAACCGAAAGGATTCCTTGTTACACCGTACTCCAAACGTGCCGCTAATCCAACGTGTACTTGCCCATGGCTCGTATCATAAGTATCGTGAGATGGTCATTATCCATGTTTGGGCTTACCCACCTTATTACACTTCTCCAGAATTACGATTACTTCCCCTCGACAGTTCATACAGCAAACTTGACCGTCCGCTTCGTGGTCTCGATCTTGTTGACAGGCATGACTTCCCGTTCAACTGTCACTTCCCGCGAAGGCGTGTCTCGCACACCCCTTCGCCGTCTCTCACTACGTTTCGCTCTCGCCTCGCGAGTCTCACGTAGTTTCCACTCGGTCAACTGTTGTCGCCGCTTCTGCGACCTCGCATATGCTAATGCTGGTGTAGGCTTGAAGCCAATCCCGTTGAGTCCAGTACCGTCATCATCTGGGTCAGTCGAAGGATCGACCAAGTGTCCCGTGATCTCGCTATCTCGCCACGTGAGAGCCGACATTGAGGGCGACGGCGATCTAGCCCGAGGGCGGGGTTGCGAAGAAGAGGGGTTTTGCGCGCGCGACCTCTGCTTTGCAGCTGCATGCGACTGCAGGGTCGTGGGTATAGGCGATGAGACGAAGCTGGTGTGTTGGGCAAAAGAAGCGATATCTGGCAACAAGCGGGGTTGCGACGCCTGAGGGGTCTCTGGTATCACCCGAGAGAGGTCCAGCTCAGTCGTCACAGCGACAGTATCCAAGTCTTCCCCGTCTGTATAGCGGCTGAATTTCTCGCGTATGGTATATGTATCTGATGCAGTTCCACTGTCTACCCTCATGGCATCGAGCTTCGGCTTCTTGCTTATCACATCGTCGGTTGGCGTGAGCGGGGACATGGGTATTGCCGCGAGTGCAGCGAGGTTCATACCTCGCAGCTGATCTGCGACTACATTTCGTGGGCTATCGGGACCTGATGAGGGCGCGGGGCTGCTTCGTGGCGGTGCTGATGCGGGACGCAGGGCGAGGGCCGTGTTGAGCAGAGGGACAGGCGGGTGTTGATCGCGCTTTCGCTTCGGGGATGGGTGCGCCAGTTGCGTAGGCATGTCGCCGATGATCAGGGTGCCAGAATTACATCGGGGACTGCAGGTAAAGGATGTTGGTGGAGTCTACAACGGTATTGTTGTTGTGTGGAAGAGCAACAGCAAGCAAATCGCACATGATCGCCGGTTACGCGAATGTGGGGCAGATGCACTGGCCCGCTGTAGGGCTGAAAGACAGCCTGGCCCGCACCACTGCACGCAGATGTGCGTTGCGGTCCGACTCATGCTGTCATTGCCATGGTCGTATGCAGGTGCACCTCTATCGCGGTATTTGGTTTGTTCGTTTCGTGGTCGTCATCTTCCATGTTGATTTACACTCCCAAATAGGCCTAGCCAGTTTACGCTTCCCTTGCCTGCTGCTGCCTGATCCAGTTGCTTGCGCTGTCCGTTGTCAGCATCCCTCTTACTCGGTCCAAGTTCTGGTGTATATCTAGCCCTTGCCTTCACGGTGCTAATGTGAGAGCCTCTAATCATTCAAAGCGTCAACTATCCGGTTCTCAGCATTCCACGCCAAAGGAGTAGTGGCGCAAACGACATTCACCTGGAAGTACATTGGGATAGCGGCAGCTTTCTGCTTAGACAACACTGGTGGTAGTGCTTGCCCTCATCTTTCACCTTCCAAAAGTCATGGAACAAAGCTCCATCCTCGGCTTCCTCAAGAAGCCGGGGTCATCACGACCGGGTCCCTCTCGAACAGAAAACACTCGTCCCGGTGAACCTTACCAGCGTCACAACACCAATCGTCCAAAGCACAACATATCTAACCACAACCGCGCACCTAAACGCCGACGCAATATGGCTCTCAAACAAGTTGCCGACGAGACCAAGTCGGTTCTCCCAGGTATCCTATCGAAAGTCCCGTCCAAGTTCAAGGCCGAGTGGGCTACTCTCGAGACGATAAACCATCAAGATGGATCTACTCTCCCTAAAGAACGGTGCCCGGGCATCAAGAAACCATGCATCATCGAAGTACTCAACATGGACTCGTTTGATGCAGCAATACAGCTTGAGCCCAACCATACTGTCCGTCAGCATTGTAGCATGAAGAAAACAGACGTGGATGTGGATGACGACAAGCCTGCGATCGCTCCCAAGTCCGACATCGATGCACCAATGCAGGACGCCACCACAGAGGACGCTCCTGGAAAACTTCAAGACCCCGAAGTCGAGAAGCAAGCCGGAGAAGTCACTGAGCCCATGCGAGCCCGTCCAGTTGCCGTCCTCAACCTCGCTTCTGAGCGATCACCCGGCGGTGGCTGGCAGAAAGGGGCTCTCGCCCAAGAAGAATGCCTCTGCTACCGCTCGTCGCTCTACCTCACGCTAGATAGAGAGCAATACTACCCAATCCCCGCTCTCGCCGCTATATACTCACCCAACGTGGTCATCATCCGTAACGCCATGTCCGACGGCCATGAACTGCTCGAGTCCACGCATCCCATGGACCTCCCTGCGCTTTCTGTCATCAGTGTTGCAGCCCTCCGTCAACCACCTCTGTCAGACGATGGCAGTACATTCAAGCACATCGGCGCGAGGGCTCATACCAAGAACAACGTCCGCCTCATATTGCGCGTTGCTGCTCGACATGGACACACGAAGCTTGTGCTGGGCGCGTTAGGTTGTGGCGTGTATTCCAACCCACCAGCGGAGGTTGCCAATTGCTTTCTTGAGGTCCTATGGGAACCGGAGTTTCAGGGAGGATGGTTCGAGAAGATTGTGTTTGCCGTTCTGGACAATGTACGGGGACCGGATGGTGGCAAGGATGGAACCGGTAACTTCGGTGTTTTCTATCGGATTCTGCATGGACAGGTTGTGTAATGAGTGATGGAGGACAGCTTTGGATCATCAGCAACTTGTGTGTGGTTTCGTTACAGGCGTATGAGTCGGAAGCAATACGCAAATGGTATCGCTAAACCTGATGTGGATAGTTGACGGGAACGTATTCATAGAGGGCGTTACGTGGCAACAACACGGATAACGGCAGAGCATTCACAGCGATTACAGTATCAACATAGCATTAATCAAGTAGCAAGCATTGGCCCCATAGGGCAGATCTCTTTGAATTCTGATGACACCGGGAGAAATAGGTTGGTATCATGATGCAGGTATATGTACAAGAACGCAAAGATGCAAAGCACTCCATTACCCTTCGACTGTTCAAGCTCCCACGTCTATGACTTGAAGGTTTTGCTACGTCCTGCGACTTCTTTCTGCGCCCTCGGCAGTCCCTTGGGTGCATCCGTCATACCTGAGAAGGGCGCAAAGCTCGAGTTCTTCTTTTTCTTGTCCTTTTTCTTCTTCTTCCCATCTCCGTCTTCGGCATGCAGTACTGATTTCGCGTTCGCGTAGTCAAAGGCAGGCTCGTCGCTGTGGTTGAGACCTGCGGCATGGGCAGCAGCATCGTCCTTCTTCTTTTGTTTGCGTGCCGCTTTCCTAGCGGCTTTCTCACGTACGCGGATGGCATCCGGTGTCTCTTCAGGTGCGTCTAGCATGATCTCGTCGTTGGTCATGGGATCAAGGGCCAGGGCAGTGGTCGACTCGTCTTCTACCGCGTCTCCTCGCTTTCGTTTGCGACCACCAAGATGCTTGACAACGAATGTGTCGGTTCGTTGGTCTTCGGCTGGTCTCTCTTCTTTCGGCACAAAGGTGTGCTGTGGCTTCTCTGCTTTTGGTGTAGCTTGGGCCGTTCCATTTGAATCAGCAAATACTTGGGCGGTGAGAGGTGGTAATGGTAGAGCAAGTCCGATGTCGATGGTTGGTATTTCCGGCTGTTGTGGCGCCTGGTTTGCCTTCCAAAGTTCGCCCCAAAATTCTGAAGAGGAAGCTCGGGTAGCTGGAACTGCTACAGTGCTTTGAGGCACAGAGGCCTCAACAGCTGGTGCTGCAGTCACCTCTGCTACCTTGATCGCAGCGTCTGACTCGGCCCTTTCCGCCCTCTGCATGTCGGCAATCGTCTGGAGCACGTTGTGCAGCTCCGGTCCATTGACACCCTCCTCTTTAGCCTTGGCAATGACAGCTACAAGCTCATCTGCATGCGCTCGAATGATATGCGATACGTGTTGGATTGCGTTGAAGAGCGCAACCTTGTCCACAGGTATCATACGAGCTATGGTGAATACGGCGTGGTTGGGCATAATGAAAAGCGGACTTTCATCTTCTTTCCGGCTGAGGTCGTCTCTCCATCTATGAACGGCGCGGAAGACAGAGAACTGTTGGGGGGTAAACTGCACAGGCGTGCGTGAGACGAGCTTGTACCAACCAGCAGTTCCAAGACCCATCTCGGTATCGTATACAGGGTGTTCGTAGCGTTGCAAGGCCGTCTCTTTCGACTTTTGAAGTACATCTTGGACCTTGTTCTTGTCTGGGTTAGAGAAGTCAGACTTCTCGACTAGCTCGTTGCGCATGTTGTCGTATATGTATAGGAGGAAGTGGGTATCAGCGCGTGCGTATTCGAAGAGTTCCTTGCTGAGCGGTCTCACGCGCCAATCTGCGAGCTGGTACTGTTTCTGGGCCGTAAACTGGACATGCCTTTCGAGTAGATATGCCAGACTGGCACCAGGGTAACCAAGGGCCCTAGCAGCATGGTACGTGTCAAAAAGACCAACGACATATAGTCCTAGGTCTCGCTGAAGCCAGACAATGTCCATGTATGCACCGTGTAGAACCTTCAGGATGCTGGGATCGGCGAACACCTCGTTCAGGCATTCGAGCTTCCGCCGCCAGGGCTTCAAAGTGTCGACTATCCAGTCCTTATCGCGTGTGCTTATCTGCATTAGTGAGACCATGCCGATGTATGAGCGGTTGTCGTGGTGTTCCAGATCGATGGCGATTTCCTTTGCAGTCTTTAGCTCGGAGAGCATCGTAGCTAATGCTTCAGGAGTATCGACCAAGGTTGCGGTGGTAGTTTCGAAGGGAGGGTATTGCTGCGGCTCGGAGTGCTCGTATACGGTCGAAGGATACTCGTAGGTTTCAATCTCGGTCTGGTATGGGTGGGGGTATTGTTCCCGTCCGCGCCTGTCCTTGAATGTCTGCAAGCATTCTTCTAGCGGGATCTTCGCATGCGGCTTGGACGTGACCAGCGGGCGGAAGCCGCCAGTTTCGCTGTTGCTAGGCGCATGCTCGAATTTGAGCTGCGGCTTCGCGATGATCTTCTTGTCGGCAATGTTGGGGCGTGGTTTCACAGGTGCCTGCGGACGCGTTAGATGATGCGCCTCACTTTCCGTGTGGGCGCTCCTTACCTGCTCCGTCGCGGGACTCAAGCGCTTCACGACGCCCGTGTACTCATCGAGACTGGTGTCGGCCTTCTCAAGCAAGCTGTCGATGACATCAACAACCCCCCTCCAATTGGCGTCTATGGCTTCGACGTCGGGCAGCTTGGGACCTACAGCGTCCGAGCTCGCAGCAGCATTCTCGAGAAGCCGCTGCGCGAGATGAAGGAGGCGCGCATTCTGGGCGTCGAGCTGCGTGCCAGCGTCCGGGTTCAGCGATCGTTGGAAGGGAATGTCTGCGCCGCCTATGAGGGAGGCAGACTTGGTGGTCGACTTCAGGGCGGCCGCGATTTCTGTCTGGAGCGTCTTGAAGGAATCCATGGCGAGTTTAGTGTGCGCTCATCCTCCGCGGTGGTGTTCGATGACGCGGTCTACGGTGGCGTCTCGCTTGGATGTCGTAGGTAGGGTTGGTGTGGAGAGGAAGCGCGTGTCGCAAGTGTTTAGAGAAAGAAACCTTCAATGATCTTCGCTAGCGCGCTTTCCCTATCGATAGCCGCGCGACCTTCACCAGACCCTCGGCCTCCAGTCATGCGGATCAGCGCCATTGCTCAACCACCACCTGTATTTTCACCAACATGTCCGCCTCCTTAGCACCGGAATGCAACGAAGTCAAAGAGTGAGCGTGCGCGTTGTTGGTGTTGTTGCTGCAACCCGCTGACACAGGCCAGACGCTACGATAACTGCTTCCTCAAGTGGTACAGCGAAAGTACGCAGAGCATCAACAAGGCACCAAGTACAAGTACCTACACATTCTGACAACGTGCAGAGTTCTTGCGAGGCACTGCTACAACCGACGAATGTAAACCGATATTCGAGCAGTATGAGAAGTGTCTTTCAGTCAGTCACGCAGCCAACTCGATGCTTGGCCTTGCACCTAGCTGACTTGTTGAATAGCGAGCTCTGAACGAGCGAGGCATCGACAAAATGTTGAAGGAAGTGCGAGACGACAACAGGGAAAATGATGCTGAGCACATGAAGCCAGTGCGGACGTTCTTCCCAGTGGCATAGAAGTGAAGCTAACAACATCCAGAACCGATGATCCCTCAAACATGCTCTATCGTATTTCGTAGAAGTATAGACATATTCAGGCGCATCCACCTCATCAAGTGAGTTTGAAATCTTTGATCCCCATGCAGTGGGCATTCTGTACAAAATCGAGGAAGAAAAGCTCATGGGCATGCAGAATTTCGCATTAGCGTCTCCATACCATACCATACCTTGCCGGAATAACCAATTGTCTTCGTCCATATATACTTTTATCATGTATAAATATTCCCGAATGTTCTCGAGGTTTACCGCATCAACAATGCACCAACATTGCTGGTCGGGCCGCTTCGTACATGTGCGCTAGGCCCCCGAATGACGACATAGTGCGAGATCCATGTATCTCGGGAATGCATCTCATCCGCTCTCCCAGCTCCACTGAGTCCACCCCGTGGTCCCACAACTTTATAAAGCCCTCTCCTTCGCTGGCTCAATTCGATGGTCAACTACCTCTCTGTCCCTGAATCAAGCATGGCTACCAAAGTTGGTCTCGGCGTCCCAATGCCGCTCCTCGCTCCTGCGACTGCTACATGGGCTTTCCCATTCGCGGCTTACTACCTTTTCCTCCAAAATCGCATTGTCTACCACCGTATCACCTCGAAAACGTAGGATAAGCTGCTCATCCGTAACAAACCTTCACTAACGTTGACGACAGCTTCATGGGTGACAAATCGGACGAGTTGAAAGGCACCACTGATCCACTCTACGTTGCCTCACGCGCGCAGCTAAACTTCACTGAGAACGTGCCCCTCGTCCTTGGTATCGCACTTCTCGCTGAGCTCAACGGAGCCAACAGGTAATCTCACCAGACCAGGACCACAGAACCCACCTAATTCGTTCATCAGGTCCTACATAAACTACGCACTTGGAGCTCTGTTCGCATTCCGTGTCAGTCACGCTGAGCTTGGCTTGATGATCAACGAAGCCAAGGGGCCCGGAAGAATTGTTGGTTTCTACGGCACCCAGGCTGTACTGGCAGGTATTGCTGGATACGCGACGTATCTGATCACGGATTACTGGATGATTTGAGCAAAAAGACGTGCATGTAGCGGAATAGTCGTCCTTCAGGGTTGGCAAAAACAGACGATGGAAATAGACACTACAAATGAAGTTTTGTTTCTAGTGAAACCCATTGACCATGCATGTGCGTATATAGGTCGACATAGAGACTCGAGGAAACATGTGAAATGAGGCGCATTACGTAGCAGCTGCGGTGGCGCCAAGGCATGCGAAGTAGGCGGACAGCTGCCGCGATCCCAATCCCCACCAATTCTTAAGAACATAGGTTACAGATACAACCAGCCTCGACGGACGCGTCCCTACCCTCTCGAACCTCGGAATCGTCCTCCTCTCCTAGTCTAGAGCCTCAGCAACCAAATCCTCCGGCGGCGCAATGGAGGCAGCGTCTGCGCGCATGGCCGCCCGGGATCGTTACGGCGCATTCGGAGAGGCACCCAGTTCACCACTGCAGCGCTACATACGTATGCACAACGTAACCACGCCCGTGCAAGGCAGAGCTGACCTGGCAAAAAATAGTACAAGCTTGCGATCCGCAAAACTTTGAGCCTAATCTGGCCCTGAACCTCGAGATCTCCGACCTGATCAACAGCAAGAAAGGCTCCGCGTAAGATCAGGCCACGCTACCACTACCGGCAGCAGGCTAACTACGTCCCAGGCCCCGGGAAGCAGCTGTTACCATCGTACACTATGTCAACCACCGCAACCAGAACGTGGCACTCCTCGCGCTCAATGTACGCCCACGCTGCCCCGCCTCAGACACCGTATAGCTCACCACAAGATAGCTCCTAGACATCTGCGTCAAGAACTGCGGCTACCCATTCCACCTTCAGATCAGCACAAAGGAATTCCTCAATGAGCTCGTCCGCCGATTCCCCGAACGTCCACCTGTGCACTCGACGCGTGTGCAGAACAAGATCCTCGAGCTGATAGAAGAATGGCGGCAGACGATATGTCAGACATCGCGGTACAAGGACGACCTAGGCTTCATAAGGGATATGCACAGACTGCTGAGTTACAAGGGCTACATCTTTCCCGAAGTGCGCAAGGAAGATGCCGCCGTCTTAAACCCTAGCGATGTACGTACCCGCAATCCTGCCGGTCGAAGCATATGGCTGACAAAGCGCAGAATCTCCGATCAGCAGAAGAAATGGCCGAAGAAGAGCGAGAGGCACAGTCCGCGAAGCTTCAGGAGTTAATTCGTCGTGGTGGACCCGCGGATCTGCAAGAAGCGAACAAGCTCATGAAAGTCATGGCCGGATACGATACCAGGAACAAAACGGATTGGCGCGCAAAGGCTGCCGAAGAAGTCGGAAGAATACAGCAAAAGGCAAAGATACTCGAGGAGATGTTACAGGGCTACAAGCCGGGCGATCAGATCAAAGAGGGCGACGTCTTTGAGGTATGCCAACTGAGGTAGTAGGCAAGCGACATTGGCTGACCAGATGACAGGAACTTGCCAACGCTCTCCAAAACGCGCAGCCGAAGATCCAGAAGATGTGCGAAGAGGACTCCGAAGACCACGAAGCTGTAGCGAAGCTCTTCGAAATCAACGATAGCATACACCGGACAATAGAGAGATACAAGCTTTTCAAGAAAGGCGACATCGAGGCGGCGAATAACATTCCTCAAGGTACACTTGGTCGCAGTGGTGCTGGTGTATCACAGGGTCCCAACAACACGTTGAACCTGATTGATTTCGGCGACCCAGAGCCCGCGCCTCAGATAGCAGGATCGTCGCAGACTTCCCAACAGCCAGCTGCGGCAGGCAATGCTCTCGAGGACGATTTGCTGGGCTTGTCTCTAAGCGGAGATACATATGGACAATCAGGCAGCATATCTTTGGGAGGCTCAAACGGCTCAGGTCAGTCATGTTATCACAATGAGTATCCGTCTACTAACGCTCACTAGTTTTGGGCATGTCTGGTATGGCTGTGCCACAATCGCAAAAGGCATCCAACCAAGCTATCACCGATCTCTTCACAGCAGCGCCAAAGCCTACGCAATCCCCAATCACGTCCCCTCCTCAATCTGCATTCTCTCCTCCCCCAGTGCAACCAGCTAGGACACCTGATCCTTTTGCGGCCCTAACTTCTACACCACGGCAAGGATCGCCTTTCCAATACCAACAATCCATCAAACCACCACAACCTGCATCCGGTGCTGTCGACCTGTTAGGAGGCGGGGTGTCTGCACCGACGACTAACCTGGCACAAACCAGTGCTGCGAACGATGACGATGAGTGGGACTTTGCCTCATCTGTACCTGATACGTCCAAGGAGATCTCCGTTACCAACACGAGTATCAATGTCCTCTTCAACGTTTCGAGAGAATCGGACACCACGCTGCTGATTCAATCGCGGGTGTCGAATAATACACCACTTCCAATCTCCGGTTTGACCTTTCTGTTGGCGGCGTCTAAGGTAAGTTTTATAGCTACGAATGCAGGGTTATGAGTTAACAACCGCTAGGGCGCGCAACTACAGCTGGAGCCACAATCTGGTGTCAACCTTGGACCGAACCAAAAGTTTGGCATTACTCAGAACATCCGAGTAACCAACGTGCAAAGAGGGTCAGGGACCAGTGTCAAGATGAGGTGGAAGGCTGCGTATTCTCTTGGTGGACAGCAGAAGAACGAAATGGGGGAGATTTCGAGCCTTGGTGTTTCATAGCTTTCGCGACACAGCTGCCAGATCCACGAACTCGTAAAGCACAAATGAAGTACTTGCCGCGATCTGCACAATGAGTTCCATGCAGCGATACTTTATGGGCTAAGTGACGCGATCCACCTTTGGCGCGTAACTGATCAAACAACGTCATTGCACTAGCGCGCCTTATCGATTACGATGTTCAAATGTTATTCCACTCACTCTTGCCCCGCCACTCTGCAACTCACTCAGCCCCAAACCGCAAAACACCTTTATTGCAAGACCTACCAGCAAGTCACCATGGTCCGCCACAAGAAAGACTTCAAGGGCAACAACAAATTCCGAAACCCAGCGAAAGCACGCGCGCCTCCTCGCCCCCGCCGCGCATCAGATGCAGAAGAAGAGGAGAACGACGGCGCCAACCCGAGACCTGCGAAGCCCGAGTTCAAAGCCGCATGCTGGGACCTCGGACACTGCGATGCGAAACGCTGCTCTGGCAAGAGGCTCATGCGCCTGGGCATGATGCGCGAGCTTCACGTAGGGCAGAAGTTTGCTGGTGTAGTGGTCAGTCCGAAGGCGAAGAAGATACTGAGTCGCGAAGACAAGGATCTGATGGAGCAATACGGCGCTGCGGTCGTAGAAGCCAGCTGGAAGAGGATAGACGAAGTCCCATTTGGCAGGATAGGTGGCAAATGCGAACGCCTACTTCCGTACCTTGTCGCCGCGAATCCAACAAACTACGGTCGTCCTTGGCGATTGAACTGTGTCGAAGCTCTGGCGGCTTGTTACTATATCACTGGACACCCTGAATGGGCCGAGTCGATCCTCTCGACTTTCTCCTATGGTCAAGCGTTCTTGGACATCAATGCCGCACTGCTCAAGCGTTACATGGCGTGTGAAAACGAAGAACAAATCAAGAAGGCTGAGGAAGTCTGGCTAGAGAAAATAGAGCGCGAGTACAACACGAGTCGCACAGAGAAAGAGGATGGCGTGGAAGAGGACGTCTGGGCGGGTGGAAACATGAATCGGCGGGTTATCGACGAATCAGATGAGGATGAGGATGAGGATGAGGATGAGGATGAGGATGAGGATGGAGAGGAAGAAGACGAGGTTGACCCGCGAAACCCGTATAACATCCCGGAATCTTCAGACGATGAAGAAGAGATGGCTGAGCTAAGGCGCCGTGTCTTGGCATCGAAGCCCTTTACCAACCCTGCACCAAAGGATGATGAAGATGAAGGCGAGGGCGACAAGAAGGTACCCGAACGCATACCTCAAACGGAACCTGCACCGGAGAATGCCAAAGCCGAAGTGGAGGACGACAGCGAGCCCGCGGAAGGCGATGCAGATGATGATGAATTCGATAGCTTCATGGCAGCGCAACCTACCACGGGCCGGACAGGCATAAGCAGCAAGCAGAGATCAAAGGCCATGGATGGCAAGTACAAGGCCACCTTCTCGAGTGGCAGTGTAAAGGCACCCAGTGGACGCGGCTACCAATAGTTCTTAGCCTCGTAGCTTCTACTATAGTAAGAAATGTGAACAATTCTGTCGGATTGGGAAACTGCTGCAAACGTTTACCTAACCGGTTATCGTTAGGTGATCGTTCTGGGACTAGTTCGAGCCTAGGCAGCCGAGGGCGATCGTTTCGTGCGACAAACTGCATTCGCGAAACACCACTCCAAACATCGTCGTTTGACGATGCGATGCGCGAGCGATAAACTTTGGACGTAATTACTCATAGTATCCTTCATGCCTCACGAACGGTCGTTTGCGACTAGCCCCCGCGGTTTGAAGCTGCATCGATAACACTGTGGCGGCACTTGCACCGGCTGCTGCAGGCAGCGCAGCGAAAGAGACGAAAATCAACAGTTCTCTCGACGCCATTGACTTTACTCCGACTTGTGAGCATCGCATTGATTCCTCTCGTTGTTGTCACATGAATACAAATGTCCATATTAGTCTCACTACCCGAGCACCGTATCGCCACCAGTCGAGTTGTCTCGCAAGTCACTAGGGCTAAGCTTTCCGGCAAATCCGTCCCAGATGCGCAAACTAAACGTCCTGCCTGACGTTTGAAACCAGATTCGAAAAGAAGCATTGCCGTCAGTCGAGCAATCTCTTGGCCGACACCATACCTGTAAGGACACAGGTCCCGTCGAGTGACACGGGCGTATCAAGAAGCCATAGCAAGTTTTGTGTGGGCCTCCTCAGTCCGAAGGGGTTGAAAATGCCTGAAGGCTATGTAACTCCATACTCCGGAACATCTTGCCATCAATTCTTGGAGCACGACACGAAACCCCATTGACCGGATCGGGATACGCCGGACCAAAAGCCGAAGTCATGGTACGAGACGCGAAGTTCATAATAAGCTGCTGTGCCACAACTGACTGTTCGAGTACCTTTCTGCTGCAGCAAGTCTGGTCAGTTGCTCCGCCATTCTCTCGCTCTTCTTTTAGTAATCTTTCTTTCCCTCTTATTACTTAATACTTTCCAAGCCCAGGTGGCTTTTTTTACTACCAACATGACGTCCGGTACTGTCTCTTCCCTCGTTCTCCTCCTCTTGAGCTGTACACAGGTGTTCGCTCAAACAGGACAAACGCAACAAGTGTCTTACAACCAAGTTCTTAATCTCAATGGCGATGTAAGTAATTCATGTTTGCGAATAGCCGCAATGGCATCGGACTAATGGATGTAGATGAAACTCAACTCATTCCAATTCCCCGACCGCTCTAGGGTCGAGACATTCTCCCAGAAACAGCAGCAGATAATCGTTAATCAACAAACACCTGCCATCCCCGCCAACCAGGTCACAGGAACGACTGGTCAGTCTTTCGTCGCTGTCTCGCCGCAATCCATGATCATCAGCACAAATGGCGCTACCGATCTAGTTGGTGGCCAGATCGAGATGGCCATGACCATGCAGAACTTGCAGGGCGCTGCGGTGCAGCCGGACAACACCTATGTGGCTATGCTGTCACCCGACCGTCAGTCCTGGATGATCCAGGAGACTATGAGGAGTGTCAACACCACTGATATGACGGTCCGCATGGTCAAGCGTACTCAGATGGACGGTGAGTACATGGTTGTTGGCCGCCAGACTGTTGAAACCAACACTCTGGTCACTCCTTTCGGTAGTGATGGCAGCACCTCAGTGGCAATTCAGGGTACCGGTCTGCAAGAGAACGAGTTCCAGGATGGCTTCAGGATGTCTACCCGTGCTACTCAGCCCATGACCATGAACGTCGATGTCAAAGATGGTGTTGACTCTGGTATGCTTGCTGCTCTTCAGGGCCAGGCCCCGGTCAACGACTACCGTTACTCGGTCACAACCAACCTGGCTGCCGTCACTCCGGATCTGAACCAGCAAGTCACCGTCATTCAGATGCCCCGTAAGTCATTGTTCCTTTCATTCGCATCTGAGGCTAACAGAGATATAGTCAACCCTGTCCGTATCCAGAAGATGATGCAAGCCATGGGAGTCCCCCCTACTGGCCAGGTCGCAGTCGCAGTCGCCCAGCGCGGTGTTCTCCAGAACCCCGGAGGTGCAACAGGGAACCTCGGTGGAGCCGCTGGTGTAGCCGCTACCCAGCGCCGTGGTCTCAGCCGCGACGAGTTCAGACAGGAGGTCGCCCGCCAGATCCAACAAGGCACACCGCAGACCGTACCGCAGGGCACACAACAGGGTACACCTACCAACGGCAACAACCCTGTCGCAGCTCAGCTTCTTCTTGCGCCTACCTTCACCCCAATCCAGGCCAATGCCGTTCTCGACCAGACCAACATGCGCATTGCCGTTCCCGTCCGCCAAGTTGATGGAGAGTACATCCTTACGATGCAGATGATGGGCGGTGCGCAAGCCGCTCAGCCCGCCCAAGCCCCTCAAGCTGCCGCGCCTCAGCCTGCCGCTGCAGAGGGACAGACGCCCACTGCTGCTGAGCCTGCTACATCTTCTAGTCTGACGCCTGCCAGTGAGGCCCCCGCAGCCGCTGCTAGCCCAACCGAGCTTAAGCCAACTCCTGAGGCCGAGAAGCCAACAGCCGAAGGCGCAAAGCCAGCTGCTGAAGGAGCAAAGCCGTCCACTGAGGGTGAGAAGAAGCCATCGACCGAAGGTGAGAAGCCAGCCCTTGAAGGCTCCGCCTCAAACAGCACCTTGGCCGCCAAACCGGAGCGCCGCGCGGAGACCAAAGCCTCCAGCACTGACAAATACGGTGATGTCAAGGCCCCCAAGGGTATGATCATTATGACCATGAAGGAGGTTGACAGCATGGTTGCCGCCGTTACTTGGGGTGGCCAGGTCGCCATTACCAAGATGATGAACGAGTACGTCAAGGAGCAGACTGGCAAAGGCATGGCACCTATGAATGCTACTGAGACTGCGGCGGGTGGTGTCAAGATTACCCTCTGAGCTGGATCGATGTATGGATACGCGGTAATGCATGGGTAATGGTGGCTGTGTTCCCATGTCGAAGAGGGAAGATGGTTGTTAATAGTATCGTTAGTTGGGGCTTGATGTCCTTTCTTCCGCATGGTCGGAAGGTTTATTAGTTGTACATAAAATTGACGAATAAAAAGCGTACCTTCACGTTCTGCACGCATCTGGCTCGAAGCTGTTCATGAAGATTCTCATTGTCGCCATGGCCTTGTGTTACTGGCTTCTACATTTCGTCGCATGCGCCGCTCGGCTACATGAGCTCCCTTTCTGTGCAGTGAGAGAAGAGAGACTCTAACCCTCACTCTTTCGACGATGCACCCTTCTTCTCTTCTGTCGACTCGCCTCCCTCCCTCTCTTTCCTCCGTTGTGCAACATCCCAATTGTAAACCCGCGCGAAGGCGACCTCGAGTGTCTGTAATTGTGTCAGCTGCATACTCTCCAGACCACTTGGAGAATACGTACTGTGATCTGTTCACGTAGAAAGTCCAAGTCCTCCTCACAAGTGCCCAGACTCTGTTTCGCGGTCGACAGTTTCGATTGCAACAGCTCTTCGGCTTCGGGTATGGAGTATGAGAGCATAACGTTGGCGCCGAGCCACAGGTAGACTTCGTCGGTAGGGGGAACTTCAGCTTTGGCGTAGAGTGTGTCGTTGAGTTCGAAGGTGGTCTCGAGAGGCTTTGCGTCGTCTTTCCGCGACTTCAGGAAGCGCACTGTCTCGAGTGTCTTTTGGATGTCGGGGATCTTGTCCTTGAGACCTGCGGCTCGCCGTTGGGTGTTTTGCTGCATGAATTGGTACTTTCTGGGGCGGCGTATTAGGTATCGCTATCTATAAGGAGGTGTCTGGCTGGGTTGGGCGTACGAGATCATCTCTTTGAAGTTGTTGATAGTCTTCTCCACATCTGCGCGGTCGGTGACATAGTCCTCAACCTGCTGATGTTAGATCCACGCATTCCAAAGGCGGAGGGACTTCGAACCCGGTCTATGAAGGGCGCAACGGGTATACCGCGAGGGTTCGCTGGGAGGCTGTCAGAGATGTGTGAGCGTATCGGCGAAGTTGGGAGGCATACTTTCGGGACCACTACCAGATGATTAGCTATAGTTTGAAGAGTTGCTGCAGTACTCACCTCCCACCTTTGGCTACATCAGCCATTGCGAATTGAAATTATATGCGTCAGCGTCGTTCGCGCTGCTCGCGTTCAAGGTTTCGCGTCTCGGAGAAAATGCCCCGCTATGCCCGCGTTCCTTGGCGGGACAGCTGCCCCCTCCGCCCCTCCGCCCCTTGAGACCCCAAATCCCTCCGCCCCGCCCCAGCGTTCTTCACATCTCGCCCGTCGCCCGACCTGGCTAGCCGGCTTATGCAAGCATACCGGCCGATCTGGCTAATAATATATGATCTCACCACCTAGCATCGCTTGCATGCCACGCCCCTGCCGTACGCCTGGTACACTACTGAACGCTACACGGGTAGCACCTCGTTATCATCAGCATCAGGATTACGAAAAGACTCCATTCTCCTGGGATTCGATGGGAGAGCACGGATCCCCCTATCCGCAGCTAGCCGCCACGATAATGAGGTCGTTGTACATACAGCACGGCAGCTCGACGGCCTCGGGTTCGGTCATAATCAAGCCAACTGCCACATCTGTGGCTGGAGCTCATGCAGTACGTACCTCATCCACTGGTATCCCATGCCTCTATCGCATACACGGATAGCAAAAGGTCTAGCGCAACGGGCGGCCATACTTTCTGCCCTATGGAGACAGCAATCCGCAGCCCTGGTCGTCTCATCGAGGACTATCGAAAACTACTGCAAGGCTAACATCATGTAAGATGCGACCATCGATGCCTGTGAACTACTCAGCCAGGCAAAACCGAACCAATCGCTCCCCGTCCCGCCAACTCCTCGTCGCGCCATAAGGCTGTCGTATCGTTACAAGCCACAAACTTAATCATCGTAAAGAAAATATGGGCTGTATTACGCTCAAGGCTGCGACCAGCGGTTGCAGCCGCCACTGTTGAGTGCGCTTCAGGAATAGCTGCTTACGGCCTTGCAGATGCGCGTTCGGACCTCCTCACTATTCTCCGAGCATATCATTCTGGCGTATCCTCGCCGACCAAGCGTTTCTGCCAGCGCATTGGACCATTGCCCGTATCCTCGATGCATGCCTCCGAGTCCAATCCATTGGTCAGCGAATACTGCTACACTGTACACTGGCTAACCATTGCTTTCTTTCGTCCCGAGCTAAATACGGATTGAACAACGCAAATCCGTTCAGGACACACGGCCTAGTAGCGTTCGGGTCTTCGCAGCATGAGATCTAGTCCTGTCTCGTTAAGGCCAAGGATAGCACTTATGCTTCATGCATCAGGGTCACATCCTAGAAGTGATTATAGATCGGCAGATATGTTTCGATCGTCCGCTTCTGGAAAGCTACTGTGCATCAGAGAAGGTATTCGATATTGATCATCGTGGTGATCATCATCATTCAGCCCGCGGCGCATGCGGCGATGCAGCTGTCAGACCGGTTCTCGGGACTGCAGGTCGGATTGGCTCTGATCGACATTCCTGCTCTGGGCGTGTCTTGACTTCATGTACCCACGTCACTCTTGGTACCGTTGCAAAAGAACATCTGCAGTGAGATGGCTGAGTAGCTGGTCAGCGAGGCGCCCTGCACGTTACTGTGATGGCATGACGTGGCGGGCGCTCGCTTGCCAGCTGAGGAACGCGGGAGCGATGTGACAGCCAACTTTCCACTTGAAGCTTGACTCAGTGGCAGGGCTCAGGTAGCCCCGTAATGAATAACGTACGGTGAGATGCGGAAATCCTGCTGCCCCGCGATAGCGAACTTGAGCGCTTCCGGGGTTTTACCCAGCCTGCTTGCGGAGTTTGGAGAGTGGCAGGCGCCCGGCAACTTCGCTCCAGATACCATGTTTCCGGAAATGCACCTTGGACGCTGTGCGACGCGTGAGATCAGGGTTTATGACTGCATACATTTACTTGTGATAACAGTGTTGCAGTCACGTGAACCGGAACAGCTGAGTAGATGCTTGGCTGTTTGCGGGCAACGGGAATCGGAAGAAGGGACCACTGAAATGTTCCCAATCCGTCGCACAGCACGGTTCAGTATGCCGAGAATTAACCTGTTCTGCTCAGCTTGAAGTACATCCCCACCACAAACCTCCAAGCGAAGACGGAGGGATGCGCCGCATCCATTGAGAACAATGCGTAGGTCACCATGTGCGAAGCACGCATTTATCGGACGTCATTCACTTTGCACCGCGGCGATGCACGAAGGGTTAGCAACTCGCTAGCTTCTCGATCCGAGATGTGTAATGCGGTACCCTATAGTGGTCAAAGTATGGAACTGCAGTTCGCGACTTTCCCGTTTCGGTACCGGGCCGAAAGAACGCTGAACAACAACATAGGCATCATCAAGCTCAGTATCTTTTGCGAACCCATATTGCATCTCAATTTATGCAGGGCGCCACGAACCAGGCCCCTGATGCAGAGTCGCCAACCAAACCACCGGCCAGTCATTCAGAGCCTCGCACGTCGGTCCCGAACTTCTTCATATCCAGAAACCATGTGCAGTAGAACGCCCGCTATACGATGGCTGATCGTCCGGAGATGCAAAGATATGTTTGCAACCGCCCAACGGCGTTCCCGTCGGACCGCTGTTGCATTGCGCATGGGAAGAGACCCTTCACTGCGGACTGGGGCCATCTGGATCGTGCTAGACAAAGCTTAATCTATCTCGCATGAGCGGTTGTGTGGTTGACGGGATAACGGGTAGGTTATCGACATGTGCGATTTGAGGATCGAACATGCACGGATTTATCCGCGAGTCGGGTGGTTCGTTGTACCTGCAGCCACCTGGGTAAATAGATCAGAACACCCTTGGTCCCGGCGGAGAGAACTGTCAAAGGCGTGGCAAGACATGGATGTGGGTTGTTGGTGGGACCTGGGGTGGTTTCACGTCTACGCGGGTCTACGATCATGTACAGGGTTGATTCGGAGATGGCGCTGTCATGCAAGCAAGTAACTGGAGGTATTACATGTCGATTACATATAGGGTCGTGGGGGTGATATTTGGAATCCCAACAAATGCAGAGACCATGAGCCTGGGCTTGAGGCTCTTCATGAGACCATGGTTGTCGGACTGTGGAGCCGGAGGCAGTTCTCAGGGGTCAATGTCTTGACTGGGTGGCCGAATCTTGGGGCTATAATCAAGTCACCTATGCGAGAGCAAAGAAGGCAGAGTGTGGAAGTAGCACTGAGGAAGTAGGACAAGGCGAGCAAAGCAGCACTGCCATGGTGGTGAGGCGAGGCTGAGGGTCATGAAGGGCAGACGAGGCAATATCACGATGCAATGAAGACCAGATGTTATGAACAAACCCTTGCCATTATGGGTAAACCAAGCATTAAGTACAGTGTAAAATCATAACGTGCGTGAACATGAGAAAAAGCGCAGCGTGTGCGTAAAGTAAAAGACAAATGAAGCCACAAGAAGGTAAAATCCCAACGCCATCAAGTCATGACAGCTTCGCCAGCGCCATGCCAAAGACAAGTAACCGAGAGCCCAACGCCAACATCTCGATATTCAACACTTGAACAAAGGAGATGCATGCAATTTGCGATATACACAAAGTCTATGAGGGAATGAATGCGAGTCAAAGCTTATAGCTTGAGACCTTGCTGGATGAGCTTGCCTAGTGTGACACCCTGATATGCTGTTAGTATGTCGTTGAGGAGATGGTAGGAGTGGAGTAACTTACGTGCTCACCCTTCATCATAGTGAAGTGGTTACCGCCCATGACGGCGTATTGGAAGTTCTCCTTGGGGAGGAGCTGTGCCCAACCGTTGTCGGAGAAATCGGTACGGTTGTTGAGCAGCCACTTCATGGGCGCTGGGTCCTCTCCCTCACCTGGGGGAGGGCGGGGGTCCTCAGGGTTGGGGCAGACACCGTCGGTGCACCAGATGGCGAGGACAGGAGGGGCGATTCTGGGGTTCATGGGCTTCGGGTCGTAGTCCTTGAGGTTCTGGATAGCGGACGCGAAGTGAGGAAGAAGCCAAGAGGGAGTACCGCCGGGCTTGCCAGTACCGAGAAGGCCTATCTGATCGAAGAAGATGTGGAGACGAGCGGGGAGAGGGTCAAGAGCGACAGGGCATGGGGCATCGATGAGAACGAGGTTCTCAACTTGCTCTCCGGAGTTGACGAGTTGCTGAGCAACCTCGTAGGCCATGACACCACCAGCGGACCATCCACCGACGATGTACGGGCCCTGAGGCTGACGACGCTTGATCTCAGAGAGATACAGGCGAGAGACACCTTCAACACCACAGCTCCACTTCTCGGGGCACTTCATGAACGGGCAGTTAAGTCCGTACACAGCCATGTCGGTAGAGATGTTGGGGATGGAGATGTAACTGGTTGCGCTGCCGGAGCCATCAGGGACCAAGAAGAACTTCTTGGTGGCGATCTTGGGGTTACCCTGAAGGAGGACAGAGGTGGCCGGGGGAAGGTGGGAGACATCAGGAAGGGAAGCGAGCTTCTTGTTCACCTCAGCGAGTTGAGGGGGTTGGGCCGAAACCTTAGCAGCGGGTTTGGCAACCTTCGCCTGCTGCTGCGGCTTGGGGCGCATATCAAGAGCAGTCTCGATGTCTTTGATGGTGACATTGACAGTGAGAAAGTCAGCAGGAAGATCACGACCGGTAGCCTCGCGCATGGAGCCGAGAATGGTGAGACTCATGAGGGAGTCCATGCCAATGTCAGTGAGGTCGAGGTCATCGGTGATCTCAGAGACATCAACACCCATCTCTTCGGCGACAAGCTTGCGCGCGAGACTGGCGCCAGCCTCGGTGGAGGTCTTGACTTCTTCCTCGCCATCCTCGCTACCTGCTGAGCTGGCGGGTGTGTCGTCATTCTCTTCGGCAGCCTCGAATGGGGTGGAGTCGGAAGGCTCATCGGAGGTATCGGAGGAGTCGTCCTCAACAACGACAGCGCCATCGTATTGAGAGAAGTGCTTCTTCAATTCTCCGACCGTGGAGCAGTCAGTGAAGAGAGTAGAAGGAATGTCCATGTCAAGGTCCTCGCGGAACCTGGCGGAGATGGTCAGAGACAGGAGGGAATCGACACCGAGGTTCTCGAATGCAGCCTCGTCGACCAGCTCAGACATGTCGACATCGATCTCTTCAGCCACGATCTTCATGACCTTGGAGGTGACACCAGCGGGGGCGGCAGTCTTGACAGCCTTCGCGGCCTTAGCAGGCTTAGCGGCGGCTTTAGCGACAGGCTTGGCTGCCTTGGTGGCCTTGACTGGTGCAGCAGCGGGAAGCGCCTTGGGGGCAGGCTTAGCGGCAGCCTTACCGGCGGGGGCAGCAGCGGCCTTGCCAGAAGGTGGCATCATGATGTTGAGAGCGCGACGGGGGATGTTCTGGAACTTGAGGCCCATGACCATACCGATGATCTCAGCGCCGTCCATGATGTAGACATCACCGACGGAGATGTTGCCAGGAGCAGGCTGCATGCGGACGTAGGAGCGGTACTTCTTCTGGGGCGAAAGCTTTCCTGCAATCTTGATCGATCCCCATCCGTGCGAGATGTAGACGGAGTTCTCAGAGTCAAGATGGTCGGAGGCATTGACAATGAATCCCGAAAGATGTGCCAGAGAGTCGATCCAGTATGGTGAGCACAAGAACTCTCCGTCGGCCGCAGTGGTCTGGAATTGGACCTGAGCGGTGGCTTCGGTCTCCTTACCGTCAAGGATGACTTCTTCCATGCCGCGGTAGTTGTCGGCGTAAGTTACAAGGGCCTTGAAGAGCTTGTAAGCCATGCCACGGAGAACCTTGTGGGCGGCACCAGTCTGGAGCTTCTGCTCGAGGCTGTTGATCTGAGCTTGCACCATGTACTGAATGCGACCCCACTCTTCCTTCCAGGCGTCGATGGACTCGTACTTGACGATACCGACAGCATGCTCAGCAAGGACCTTGGAGCCATCGGCAGAGACAGTGCGGAAGGTAATCTGGACTTGATCAGTCTCTAGATCTGCGTTACCCTCAATCTGCAAGTGCTGGCCACTGGCTGGAGGAGGGTACTGAGGAATAAGGGTCTTGGTGACCTCCATGGAGCAGACGTTGAGGCCAGGAGTGGCGGTGCCAGGACGAAGCTGCTGGTAGAGATAGTCCGCGACAGTCATGGCCTGGTCAGCGTAGAGAGAAGAAGGCGTAAGAGGTGTACCATTGACCTGATGACCAGTGATGGTGGCCTTCAGCTTGGGGTCAGAAAGATCTGACTGTACGACGACAGTACCAGAGTTGGCGTGGAGCTCTTCCCGAACGATCTTGTGGCAGGAGGTAGTGGACAACTTGGATGGAGCATCCATAGCTGGCGCAGCCTCAATGGCCTTGACGGCGGTGGGAGCTTCAAGGACCTCGCCCTTGGTAAGGGTCCAGTTGTTGTGGTAGTCGAGCCAGTACTTCTTGGAGTCGAAAGCGTATGTGGGAAGAGTGTACATCTCATGTGCATCATTGAACTTCCTGTGGTACTCGTTGAAGTCGACGTAGACACCAGCAAGGTAGAGGGTAGTGATGCTGTTGGAGAGAGTCTTCCACGGGTCCTCGTTGCGGCGGAGAGATCCAGCTGCGACAGGTGCTCCACCAAGGGAAGACTTCACCATGCCACTGCAGACAGGATGAGCACCGACTTCGAGCCAGGCAGTCTTAGCATCGAAGAGCTTGTCATTCTGACCAGTCGTGAGAGCGGTCCAGAAGTTGACAGTCTCACGGGCGTGGCGGGCCAGGTAATCCGGACCAATGATGCCAGCCTCGCGGATGATCTCGCCAGTGAGAGGCGACATGACCGGAACGACGGGGGCGTTGAAGGTGACAGATGCAGCTGCGGCCTTGAACTTCTCGAGGATGGGCTCGACCTGGGCTGAGTGGAACGCGAAAGGAACGTTCAGCTTCGTGGCCTTGAAGCCCTTGGATGCGAGCGCCTCGTTAGTGGAGTCTACCAGATCAACGGTGCCACAGAGAACAGTCTCTTCGGGACCGTTCATGCAGGCGATCTCAGTCATCTTATCTCCGAGAGCGGCGGTGATAGCTTCAACGCTGCCCTTGACGGCAAGCATGCCGTGAGTGTTGGCAGTGCACTCCTGTTCGAGGAGTTGAGCACGACGACCGACGAGGAGAACCATGTCGCTGGCAGAGATGACGCCGGCAACGTGAAGAGCAGCGTATTCACCGAGACTGTGACCAATGACAGCTACTGGCTTGACGCCCCAAGAGGCCCACATGCGAGCGAGGGCAACCTGAATGCAAGCCATACCAAGCTGGACGACGACCGGAGAAAGAGTCGCGACGTCCGTACCTGTCAAGAGAGGAAGGATGGATGGAAGGTCATGCATGCGGGCAACCTTGTCGAGCTGATCGATGTCGATCCTGAAGGTCTCGAGATCTTCGTAAAGCTTTTGACCGAGACCTGTGTACTGGGATCCTTGACCAGTGAAGGTGAAGGCAGTCTTGGTGGGAACCATGGGAAGGGGGCTGTAGGTGTCCTTAATCTGAGCCTGGAGACCGTCCTTGACCTTGGAAATGTCGGACACACAGAATGCGACGCGGTAGTTGTGCTGAATGCGGCGAGCAGTGGTGGTGTATGCCAGGCTGGGGAGAGTGACAGAGGGAGTCTCATCGAGGAATTGCATCAGGTTGTTGATGTTCTTCTTGAGCGAGGAGATGGACCTGGCGCTGACAGTCACCATGTGCATGGTGCGGGGGTCAACACCCTTGGGGGCCTCAGGAAGAGGCGCATCCTCAAGGATGACGGCAGTGTTACCACCGGCAGCGGAGAAGTTGTTCAAGAAGATCTTGCGCTTCTCAGCACCGTTGCGGGGCCATGGAACTTGGGTGGTCGAGATGTGGACATTGCGCTGGCCGAGATCCTTGGGGAAAGTCTTGTTCATGACACCCTTGATACCAACATTGGCAGGAATGGCGTTCTTCTTCATCATCATCAAGACCTTGACCAAGGAGTTGATACCAGAGGCAGCTTCTCCGTGACCAATGTTAGCCTTGATCGCACCCAAATGGAGGGTTTGTTCAGGGCGACGCTGGCGGTGGCGGGGTGCAAAGGCGTTGGTGACGGAAGTCATCTCGATACCGTCACCGGCCTGAGTACCAGTTCCGTGCATCTCAACGTAGCTGATGTCATGAGCATCGACACCGGCGTTGGAGAGGACCTTGTTGTAAAGGTACTCCTGCGCTCCGGCGTGGGGATGGGTGATGGACACAGCCTCAGCGCTGTGGTTGGTAGCGGCGCCAAGAATACATCCGAGGATGTTGTCCTTGTCGGCAATGGCGTCTTCGTAGCGCTTGAGCACCACTGAACCACAACCATCACCACGGCAGTAACCATCGGCGTCGTTGTCATAAGTCTTGCAGCTGCCAGTCTTCGACAAGAACTGGCCCTTGCTGAGACCGGAGAAAATGTCGGGGTTGGTAAGGACGTTCAGACCTCCAGCACAAGCGGTGTCGCAGTCACCAGCCCAAAGCGAAGTGCAGGCAAGCTGGATGGCAGCGAGCGAAGACGAACAGGCAGTGTCAACGCTGTAGGATGGGCCGGAGAACTTGAAGTAGTAGTTGATGCGACCGGGCGCGAAGGCGCGCACACCACCAGTGATGAAGTAGGTGTCAATGTTCTCAGCTGCGTTGATCTCACGCCAATCGTCGGAAGTCTGACCGTAGAAGGTACCGATGCGCTCGAGCTTCGTCGACGGGGTGCGGTTGGGAACGTATCCAGACATCTCGAGAGCCTCGTATGCGGTGGTAAGGGCAAGACGGCCCATAGGGTCAGTCTGGGCAGCCTCACGAGGAGACATGTTGAAGAAGCGGGGGTCGAATAGACCAGGCTCATCGATGAAGCAACCGAAGGGCGTGTGGCTCTTGTTCTTGCCCTTGCCAGTAGGATCGCAGTGAGCCTTTGCGTCGAAACGATCCGAAGGCACCTCGCGATGGACGTCGAGACCCTTCTCGAGGAGGTCCCAGAGTGCATCAGGGTTGGCAGCACCGGGGAAACGACCCGACATGCCAACGATGGCGATCTTGTCATTTTGGGTGCGACCGCGGCTGTCATGCTCAGCGGCCACCCAGGAAGTGTGATCGCGGGCTGTGACCGATGACTGTCCACCACTCTTCAGCGCGGAAACAAGGCTGTTCGTGATGGAAGTGACACCGATAGCGGATACGGAGCAGTCTTGGCTAGATGTAGCAGTGACCTGAGACACAACCTCAGAGAGCAAGTTGTCCCATCGAACTGACTCAACAAGGATCTCGCTGAGCGCAGTTCGGATGAGGTCCAATGTGCTGGTGGCAGTGTGGCACTCTCCGGTAGAAGCGGAGTGCACCAGAGAAAGCGGACGGAATTGCTGCAAATGCCTGGTAGCATCCTTGTCGAGAATCTGGTCGATATCGGCCTCAGTGTAAAGGTGGGCAGCATGGTAGGGAGCGTAAACCGGGATGGATACCCGAGTGCAGCCCTTGAAGGCGTCACTCTGGAGCAGGCGCTTGGTGGTGGAGGGCGGGCCGCTGATGGTCAGAGCCATGGTGCTAACGGCGCTAATGTAGGCTTGCGCCAAGGTCGGTATCCGCTGCTCCTGGTGGAACGCAGTAATTGCGTCTTTGGCGGCCTTCTCGGAAATGCTAGTCACGATGGTGGACCATGTCTCCTTGGGAACAGGAGTCTGCTCTAGCGCCTCCTTTGCGGCACCAACGACGGTGCCGGTGCGGAAAGCGATGCGGACGGCCTCAATGGCGAGGGGAAGAAGCTCGCTCAGGGATCGCGCGGAGGCAACAACAGATCCTGCGAGCAGACCAGTGCAAAGACCGACTACTCGTGTGTTTGCCGGGTTCTTCAGGTCTGAGGGATTCTCGGCATAGTATCTAGACAGTTAGCATAGTTGGCTATGATGCGCAGGTAGGTACTGACCCAATGTAGTGCGACAGCTGCGCAATGGTGACCATGCAGCTCTCTAGCTGAGGAACCTTCAGTCCCTTAGCATAGTATGCTTCGATAAGATCCCATGTTGTCAGAAAGTTGGGAATTTGGTCTCGCTGTGTTCGTGGCAGCTTCTGCACCTCTTCGCGGACTACTTGACTGACTCTGTCGAGAAAGCTCGTCAGGGTCGAGTTGTTCTTCCAGGTGCAGGCCTTCCGCAGGAGCGGGTACTGGTCGGCGGTTTGGTCTCCGAAGATGAGGACGTTCATGATGGCAAGGGTATAAAAGAATTAATAAAAAGTTGGAAAAATAGTAGAAGTTAGTGCCGTATAAGGCAAAAGATCCTCACTGAAGGAGGATGTGGTGGTCGATGGATGGACTTCAAGGTTGAGGTATGGCAAGGGTATTCGATGGAGAATGGAACTCTGATCCAGTAGAGAAGTATGGTACTTGGTGTCTGGGTAGTGGCCCAAGAAACTGGATGAGAATGGATGGGATTGAAAGTCTCTTGGGTCTCGAGGTGCTCCTATATGTATAGGACTAGGAGGGGATGATAGGCGTAAGATGTCAAGAAGGTGGTCAGGGCGTGAATCGCGCGATGACAAGCACAGTGGATGCCGGATCTGTAACATCCATGTATTGCGGAACGAAGTACTGCAGAAACATATTGACGTGAGAGCGAGAGTGGACCGCGGACCACTTCCTGTCTTGGATAGTCCAGCCATGCTCCGAGGGTTAATGGCGTGCAGGTGCCGGGTATGTCGCCGAGTGCCTCCATACCTATTGATAGATGGCGCATGCTAAGTGTGGAGACCAGCGGCTGAGGTATTGAGCCAATGCGTCGCGGATGATAGCAAACATGAGACGTGGGGACCTGGATAGTAGGGGCGCTGTCTCAAATTCGGGGTTAGTGTGTCGGATCCCCTCCCATAAGCCGGGGTCGATAGACATGGCGTCCGTGGGTTCTACTATCAATTACAGCATCTTCCAAGCGAGTTCAGGCTTAGGTGTATGCAGTCAGGATGAATTGATGATGGTAAAGTCGACATGTCGAAGCTGTTCGCAGCAAACCCTGTCGATGTCCATGCTTAGTACTACAGGCACCAAGCAACTGTTGGGTCTGTAAGTCTACCAGGTTCCTCGTGGTGTATCCGTGTCATGCCCTCGTGGCTAATTGTGTTGTTCGGGTCGTCGACACGTTGAACCGAAGTATACCAAGCGATGCTAGGCCAAACCATGGTGTTGATAAGCCAGGAGGCAATATGATACGGCTGCGGATACCAGAAGCTACCGAATCTCAGTCAGCGTCTCGTCAAGCATGCGCCAAATAGAGTGGTTCCACAGCGTTGCAGACGTCAATCAAGCTTCTGGAGTCCCCGCTCGGACTCGTACCTAGGTGGAGGTGCTTGCTGGTAAGGGCTAGCAGGAGGCAAGGCCCACGTCTCGGAAACTGGAAGTCGCATACTCGCACAGAGATCGTCGGAGCGCCAGCTCATCGGGCTGGCCTATTCGGGTTGGTCTGCGAATAAACACATAGGGCAAAACCATTCTTTGGGAGAAAAGTGGATGTTTGACCATGGTGGGGTCTAGGCGTCCAAGCCATCAGCCACACAGTGAGCGCCGTTGACGAACTGCTCGGTGTATCTGCATGGCGCTCTCCCAGTGCGGAATCAGATCGCTGTAGGCTGAGGGATCTTCTTGCTGCGTGTACTACAGTCAGCTCAACTCAGATTCCGGTGTCCCTGTTATCGGCGCCACAGGCGGTAGTCCGGGCGTATAAGGTAGAGCACCCAGTCTAGAGATTACTAGGGTATCTCTGAGCACATCACGGCAGATCCGGGCGGTCCTCGCTTGTTTCCGTGCGTCTCCTGGCGTTGGGTCGTGGTCGAAACGAACGGACTGCAAGCTCGGACGGACGTCGTGAGAACGCGGTCGCGAGGCGTGACGTCCCCTGTAGCATCAATGGGGACTGGCTGGAGGCTGTTGATGAGCTTCGTGGCGCGGCTGGGCCACCCGCGACAGCGTTATCGAGCGTGCCAGAGATGAGCGTGTTCGTGATTACGAGGTGACGTTCATCACGGAGAGCGGAGAACCGAATAAGCAAATCCGCCAACGATCGACAGTGCGTTTTCTGCCACCCCTCACCGCCGCCCACACGTGTCGCCCGCTACCCAGCCACACCTGGCCAACCGTCTGCCACGCCTGTCCCTGACAGCAGCCAGATGCATACCGTCGTGCGAGACTTCATGTTTGACGCTGAGAATAGAACCTCACTTTGTGGATCTCGTTTTGCTACTCTGCGAAACGCGACGGTATGTGGAGTTCGTTCGCGTCGCGAATCGCGTAGCCAATCGCATGTATTGCGAGGCGCAAAGTTAAATCGCCCTGGGTGCTTCGAGAAGCCCTGAAATGGTTCCTCTCGACTCACGTTTCACGCTCTCTTCGACGCCCCAAAAGGACCATCGACTCTGTTTGGCACCATGTCGCAGATTATATCGAGTGGTGCTAGGCGCTCAGGTCACTTTTCCTTTTCTACAAGACGCTTTTTCCCCTTTCAGCACATACCCACCGCATCTCCTTCTCTTTTCTTCATTGGAGTTACTTTTCCCCCGCTGCATTGATAGCAGCACTCAGGAACGGCACGTACCCGCGTATAAACACCAACAGCATGAAAAAAGGGGTACAGTGCATGTGATGCAGTTCCACTTCCAATGGTACCTATACTATCAAGTGTCAAACCCAGCTACATACTCTTGATGCGCGCTGCTAGTCCGAGAACATTCCCTTCTGCTAGCGACCGAAGAGTCGCCAGGTGTATCCTGCAGAGCATGGACTTGGTCAACAGCTCTCTCAACAACTACAGGCGAGCATGTGATAGATGCCCGTGTGCTCGCAGGCTATCAGCCAGCTGTTCTACACATTAGCACCGTCGACAGATGCACCACGCACGCTGCAGCTGTAGCGCCGGCCCCACGTCGACCAAAGTTCTTGTCCGGATACATGCAGCGGTACATTGTTGAGAAGAAGGTCCCAACTTTACACGTATCTCTCCACCGTAGAACTAGTCTTGACTGTTAATTTCCCTACCGCCACTACTTCAAGATGCATGATGCTCACAGCAGCAGCCGGATGCTGCACCGATTATGCGTAGCGGGATCAGTATCCACCACAGCCCTTGTCGTGAAAGCAGACTACGGACTGCCATCAACCGATCCTGCAATGCAGCTTGTGGGTATATGCTTGACAGACTTTGCTTACAGCTGGCATCGACTCAATGCCGCAACAGTGATCAACGCGCTCGCCAAATCGTGGCCTCATACAATCATCATCTCGAAGATCGCGACCAGCTTAGACATCTCATATGGACAATTGGTGGGACAGTCCGGAACGTTTGTGTTAGCGTAACGGGAAACGTACAGGGCTCCGTCTGGCCTCATGTCAAGCTCAGCAAATCCCGAAGCAATATTGATGCACACGGGAAGTAAAGGCGGAAGTTAGGAAGAAGCTCGGAAAGGGGCAGTACATTGCGGTATTTGTCCATGTGCCAGTAAGCAAAACTCATCGCTTTGAGGTTAGAAAGTCTCGTGCTCAAAGATATCTTCATCTCGTGACCAGCCGTGCCGGAACCGACTCACTCTTCAAGCCCGTTCGACGACGACTCCAGATAGGCGTTAGATCCTTGCCGTAGCTGGCTAACCCCGCCACCACTGGGAGCATCATCGAAGACTTAGTGCTTCCTCGCTATCTCAACGCAACAAGTTCCCCAAGCGAGGCAATATTCGTCTAGTTCGACGACTAACGGGCCGTAGAGGTGACAAGGGCGGGCCGAAGGCAACGGCAAGATCGATGATGCGAGCATTTTGTGTGCAACCCATACAGTCGACACACGCATCTATCAGCCTGGCTGTTTTGGAGCCAGAAACCAGTCCAAATCAACGAAGCGTAAGCATCTGACGACAACAGGCATCATCAATGTCGAAGGATTCCATAATCCAGGTCTCGAAGGTCAGATCTGGCACAACGACACTCCGTAGTTTGTTCTAGCGCGCGGAGCTTTCTTCCGCGATCAGCGAACACCCCACGAGAAGACATGGGAACGAGCTGCAGCATCGTTAGCGCCCCTTTTATCCAAGTGCAGCAAGTGCCAGCGGCTAAAGCGATCGCTTAGGATCCGCTTGATCTTGGTTGGATCTTGAAACAATAGCGTGGCGGCGAATGACGACGAGGCTTAGCGCACCTTCGCGCCGGACCGTTGCTTCAATAGCAAGATCCAGAATCACCGATATCAGTAATTTTGCCTCAAACGCAGGGACGGTGTTAGGGCATGGTTTCCAAGGTTTGCTGTAGATTATTTTACTGCTGCGAGGCTGATCGTGTCTGCGACCATCGCTAACGACCTCGGGTAGCTCTGGATAACGTATCCCACAAGCACTTAATGCACTAAACGTCCAAAGGAGGGACTGCCTGCAATTGCATGGATAATGGGAATGAATGATGTTCTCGATGCCCACACAAAGTCATTCTGCAAGTCACTGAGACTTACTCGTTGACTGTCCAACAATTAAATCCACTTCGTCACGTCATGACAGCCTATAACCATAGTCTTGCACAGTGCCAAAGATCGCCAGAATATGAGTCGCATCCATGTGAAGAGACAATTGTTACGTGCTATCTTGCATTAGTTCAAAGCAAAACCTCTCGAAATCAGACACCGAATTTCCTCCACGGAGACCGAGAATCCCATGATGAAAGCTCTTCTCCATCCACAGCGGCTTTGATAGCCGTCTATCACAGTCCGAACCGATCCCAGCATAGGGTGGGGCCGCTGTACAAGTAGGCATACGCCCGACCCCTTCCATTGAGTTACTATCGGTCATGATAATAACAAGATTGGGCAAAGTCCCATGGGTAATGGTGGAGAGCTTTAATGGAGAAGCGTTGCGTTCGGAGTGGGTCATCATGTTCTGAAGGCTATGTGCTAGAATCCGAGGCTGCAAGTAGTTGTAATTGCATATTCAGTGACGATATAGACCATCAAGCCGGTGCACAGTGGAGTTGTGAGTTCCTTCCGGGTTTCATCGGCGACCGAAAGATTTCCCGCACCTAGATGCCAACAAAGGTGTAGAATTTCGGTGTTACAATGGGACGAAGAATCCAACTACAAACTTTTTGTAAGACCTTTTCCAGGGTTAGCAGTACTTTTGCTCTCCGTATGTCAATATTCGACGCCATAATGCGAAGGATGATTGCCAGTTCCACATGCTTGAAT